CATTATAATCATCATTAAATATTTCAAAATCAGATTGTTTTCATTATTTTAAAACATGTTTTATCATCACTAATATCTTTTAAAAAATATGCAAATGGAAAGTCTTCATAAAACATCCAATGTGTAAATAAACTACTACTTCTTAAAGCATAGTTTACTAGACCCATTATTGGCCTTTTTTCATAGAGACAAGAATGCACATGCAGCGCATTCTTGTCCATCTGCTGCAGTTTTAATTGCTAACAGATTTATTTACATCAATCTATGCAGCTTCCATCTTACTCATAATCGAGTAAATTTAATGAATCGAAATGCAATAAAAAGCCATCATGGGAAGAAGCACAGAGAGCACTACTGGTAAAGAGATAAAAATCTTGAATCTAGCAGCAACAGACAAGCAGTACCCCACCTGAGTGGTTGTGGGAATACGGCTGTTGCTGTAGTAACGATTGATGGACTGCGACTGAGATTGCATTGGATGTTGTTGAGGACTGTTGAGTCTGGCTCTGAGTGGAGACGGAGGCGGACGGCTGTCCACTGAGACTGGGAAACTCGTGTTGGAACTGCGGGGACTGGTGGGCGAGGAAACTCAGTCCAAGGGCACCTCTTCCCCCTTTCGCGCCCCCCACGAGCCCCGCGTAACCAACCACTGCTGCCACAATGGGCGTACCTATCAATTAATTGCACCACCCAAACGACACCACTCCGCTCATACTTTACTCATGCCCAACGTCCAGAAATGGATGTTAAAAGAATATAAGTGTCGTAAATACTAACTGAATAAGAAACGATTACTGTTAGCCTATATCATTATGTCAGTGTTTGTAAAGTCCTTTACCAATCCAACTCTGGACATCTGTCTAACGTTTTATGATATAATTACGTGCGTTTATATTCCAATAGATTGTTTTAAATAAATACTATGTGCAATATCATTACAGTAATATTATATTGCACAATTGTACATTAATAAATTCATACTATATTGTGTAAATAATACAATGTATCAATTATATTAACTCTCAACCTATTTAATGCTATTGATCAGCATATG